GAGCTTGGAGAGACAGGAAGGACTCTTCCTCAGAGTTTTCCCAGCCAAACCGAGCCACTAGATTTCCATCCGGAAGGCGAAGGGAGGATGTGCAGGTGGTGGAGTAAGAAGCATGTTGCAGAACGTGACCCTGGTTCCCAGTGGGGGGTGGGGGCGGATGTGGAGGCAGACAAACCGGGAGAGGGTGTTGACGGGACGGCAGGGAGAGCAGAGCATAGGTGTGAGCAAGCCAACCGGCAGCGCCTGCGGGTCTGTGGAAGGGAGCCTCCCAACATGCCTCTGGTCTTACTGGTACAACAGCAGCAGCGATGGCCCCTCTCAGCAGGATGGGGCCTGGGAGAGGAAGGTGGGGGGGCTGGAGGAGGGGTGGAGCAGGGTTTGAGGTGACCATGGGTCACCCAGGTTGAGGAGTCAGTGGGGCCCTTGGGTCTAACACAGCAGACACCAGGTGGGCAGCTGGGGACTTGAGAGTTCTCAGCAAGCATTTGGCTGAGGAGCTAAAGGAATGGCTGTGCTGGGCCAGGAAGAGAGCCTATCAGTGAGAAGAGGGCTGCGGGACAATGCCCTGGGGAGCACTTTGGAAGGGGGGGCGGCTGGTGACGAGGCCATGACAGGGACTCTGGGGAGTAGGGAGGGAGGGCAGGTGCCCAGGAGCTGGGTTTTGCTGAAGAATTCGGTGTTGAATCCTTCAGCAAGGGTGCTGGGGTTTAAGAGCAGCTACTTTCTCTTCCCGATTTCCTGTCTTCCAACTAGGAGGCCTGGGTCCTACCTGTTGAGCAAGACCTCGCTGTGGCCTACCCTTCCCTGATGAGTCATGGGCTTTGGTCGCTCACATCTTTTCAGACTGTCCACCCCCCACACCCCACCATCACCAGGGCTGCACCAGGATTAACTGAAGGAGTGTTCCAAGTGTCTAACGTATGGCAGGTGTCAAGACTTGGTCTGTCCAGCAGTCTGGACAGCGCCTGAGTCTCATGGTCCTGCCGTGAGGAGGCTCAAGCGGGCCCCCGCTGCCACGCTCCCTCTGGCTCCTGGGCCTCGGCTCACCTGGAGTAGATGCCCTTCCTGTAACTCAGGAAGCCGTCGGTCACCTCGAAGGCAAAGCTCACCGGGTTGTAGAGGGCCACAGCCTCCACCATCGCCTCCTCGTCATTCTGCGGACAGACAGAGGGACTGATGTCGGGGCACGCAGGCCGCAGCTTCACCCACTTCCAAAATATGGCCCTGTGCCCCAAGGTGGGGGACGGAGGCCCAAAGCAGACAGGGAAGACGGGCGAGACGGGGGTTGGCCAGCTTTTGAGACAGAAGAGCCCATCCTGACCCTCACAACAATTGAAAAATGATTCGAGAGCCATAAAGGTATTGTTACACACAAATGAAATCGCCATTATCTGAATTATATCCTTAACAACGTGTCAATGTTTCTTCAGAGCCACATGCACATACCCAAAGAGCCGCATGTGACTCTGGAGAGGCAGTTTGGGCGCCGACCCAACAGCAGCCACTGGTGGCGAGCTGCCCCCCTGTCTTCCCAGAGCCCCCTTGCTGATGAGGGAGGCCCCTGGCCTGCAGTCAGCTCTTCCGTTTCCTCCCCTTCTCTGCCCCAGCGCAGGGGGGCTGCACAGTGGGCTAGCAGTGGGGAGCCACCAGCTGCTCCACAGGAGGGAGATAGGGCTTTCGATTCCCATCAAGAGTGAGCGTCTCAGGAACCCACCCGAGTTTCTACCCTGCCCTTTGGGGCCTCTATCACTCAGAATCGACTCGATGGCAGTGAGTTTAAGTTGGAAATCCCTCCTCCCACACCACTGTCCCCTGGCTGGGCCGGTTCGTGTGGAGATCCATCTCCCCTCCACCCAACTGCTCCATGGACGTCCTGCACCCTTTGGGGCAGGGGGGCGGCAGTGTGCGCCTGCTCGTCCAGTCCCCTGGTCACCCAGGAGGGTTTAGTGCCTGGAGGAATCAGAGATGGGGGTCCCGGCACCCATGGTGTACAGGATGAACAAGACCCAGGGCGTGGTGGGCACCGTGCATGGTAGAGTGGAGGGCATTGCCAAAGAAGGCCCTCGGCAGGGGGAGCTGACCCAGGGGCTGCAACGGTGAGTTCAGACGCAACAATTCCAAGGACAGTGCAGGACTGGGCAGTGTTCTGTTGTTCACAGGGTCACTATGCGTCAGAACGGAGTCAACAGCACCAAGCACCACCACCAGGCGGTGGAAACGAGAGGAGCCCGGGATTACCAGTGGACTGTGCCCCACCTCCGCCCATATGAGCTGGAATCCTCACTCCTGTAGGACCCTCAGGCATCATCCTGTTTGGACTCGGGGTTTTGTTCTGTCAATGAAATCTTACCTGAGTGGGGTGGGCTCTCCCTTTAACCAAAGGTTCCCAAACTGATTTGGTCATTCAGACAGTTCAAAACATTTGTCCGCTAGCCCATCATCCAGGATAAAGTGTAGGCATCTGCTTCTGCAGCCCACCAGGATCGCTCCGGGCCTGCTAGCTCGTCCGCTCACTCAGTGCCATCGCCCCCAACAATGTGATGTCACTGGCACGGAGAGTGACCCCACGGGGCAGGAAAAACTGCTCGCGCACGCGTGTGTTGCTGAGACTGCCAGTCTTCACGGGAGTAGATCAGGGCAAGCAGCCCACCCGTACTAACCCACTGGATCACCTGGGCTCCAGATATTGCCCTTTGAGACACGCTGGTCTAAGCAACTGCCTTTACATACACGTCATGTGAATTGTAGAAAGCTCAGATCACGCGCATGCGCACACACACACACACACACACAAAGGCCCGTCTAGAAGCCGAGGCACCCGTGGAACACCAGGGCTACCAAAACAGGAGGAATCCACAGAGCCAGGACCCCGATATGTACTTCTCCCCCCAGGACTCAGGAATAAGCTTGTGAGGCCACTGGCTGGGGTATTTGTATTGCAATAACACAAGGTTGCTAAGACACCCGGAAAACTGGGAAAGGAAGTGGGGTGGGGTTGGGTGGGGGTGGTAGCGAGCCAAGGCAGCTCCTTGGGGCCTGAGCCAGCAGGCCAGGGCTATGCAAACCCTGTCGCCACCAGGGAGGCTTACAAACCCTGGCACCTGGGCTACACCCCGCACCAAGGACATCACCACCTACAGGGTGGGTCTCCGGCAGAAGTGTTTTTTAAAGCTTTCCAGTGGGGAACAAGGGGCTTAGAGTGAGCCAGGGAAACCAAGCTCCCGGCTGACCACCTTACCGAGCTGAGCTGAGGCTGGGGGATCTGTTCTGCTGAGAGGATGGGAAGTGTGTATGTGTGTGTGTGTGTGTGGGGTACTGGGCACCCAACCCTAGGTGCTTCCAGCTCCCCGCAGAGGTGGACAGAGACCTCGCTGTCCAACAGATACCCTGGAAGCACATCTTTTCCCCCAGTTCTCTGCAGGCTCAGAAAAGATCCCATGAGGCTCTGAGATCACAAAGGCCTGTTCCCCAAGGGTGTGGGCCCGATGCTGTAAGAGGCACCATTTTCATGGCTGTTGGGAGGGGGGGGTGGTCCTGGCAGAGGACCCCCACAAGGGTCTCCTGGGAACCCCACGAAAGGGATTCCTGTCACCTCCCAGAGCAGGCAGTCCTTGGATGGGTGAGTCTGAGAGAACTAGCCCTTTTCCGAAGGTAACGCCGCCATCGAGCACTCTCCCTCTTAGAGAGGGTAGGTTGTAACCTGTGGGGCCCCGTTTCTGGAACGAGGATCTCAGTCTAAATCCAGCCTTTCACAGTCTAGCTCCGTGGCCTCTGGCAAGTCTGAAGCTCACCAAGCCTTGGTCTCCCTGGGTCATCAGGACCCTTAGCTCCGAGGGGGATTTCGAGGCGTGTCATGAGTTGGCGGCGCACCTGGAAGCACCTCCGTGGATTGGTTAGGTGTTCAGCTCCCAGAGGGCTCCATGTCGGACAGCACGGACCCCTGGCTGATCCTGGCATCGTCAGGGCCAAGCTTGGACCCCTGGCTGGTCCTGGTCTCTCCGGCCGGCTAGATGTCTGCTGCTGGTGGCTGAGGGAGGGGGGTGCACTCTGGGTTGTTCACCACAAGGTTCAACCAACCTTCGGCCTGAGAAAGGCGAGGCTTTCCACTCCTGGGAAGGGTGGCAGTCTTGGAAACAGGGGCGGCTCTACCTGCCCTACAGGGTTGCCAGGAGTCCAGATGGATCTGGCCGTGAGAGACTCGCCTGCTGGAGCATACACTTCTGGGTGGTGGTCTGCACCCCCAGGGTGCTCCTCACGTGCTCCCTTGTACACTCCCCACTGTGCATTTGTTCCCCTGGAGAGCTTCACTTCTGCACACTCTCCCACAGGACCCAGGAGTCGTGCGGGCTGTTCACAGAGACTCTAGCTCTCGGAAGATCACCTACGACTACACCATCCCATCCACTTACAGCTAGGTGTGACGGTCACTCGTCTGGGCCCCAAGAGCCAGGGCACAGCTCACCCTCTGCCCGGGGCAGTTGTTAGTCATCAGGGGGTCCTTTCTGACTCGTCGCCCACCCCCGACTTGTGCAGAGCAGAACTGCTCCTTGGGGGTCCCTGGAGGAAGCAGACCTCTTGGCTGGCCCATGTGTGGCATTGAAACTGCCAACCTTCTGGCCAGTAGTTGAGCACTTAGCCATTTGTGTCAAGCAAGGACTCCTGCCTGGGTCCTAGAGGGAGGCAGAGGACACAGAATGCAGTCTGGCTAAGCTGATGAGCACGCAGCAGGATGTGAACCTTGATGGTTTTAAGCGAGTCCAATCCGGGGGCTGTTTGTTCCTGCGGCCTAACTCAGCGTGTCCTGACAGATACACGTTCACGCGTCACTCATCTCTCATACACATCCTTACACATACACGCTGACAGGACACGCGGGGCGGGGGGGCACCACTAGAAGGTGACAGACATGAAAACGGACATGCAGAAATGAAGCCTGGCGCACACCTGGGGTGAGAACCAGGCATCCACTGCCTGTCCTGCACGTTCCCTCCCATCCTCCGCCAGGCTGCCCATCTCCGAGACCCCATGCCAGTCAAAACCTTCTAAATTCAAGCAGCCGGGAAAGGCTGCCCAGACCACTGGCCATCCGACTGCTCAGGGGACGGGCCTCTTCCTTGAATGCAGTGCGGGGTGGGGAGAAGCATCGGTACTCACCAGCGTGATGTTGGCCACCTCCTTAACAAACGCCACAGCCTGCTTGGGCTGGAACTTGCAGACCCCGTCCTGTTTGGTGGCAAAAGACACGGAGCGCAGGTTAGGGCTGCTTGGCCCAGGCGGAGGGTGACATTTACCAGACAGGCGACGATGGGTCATGTATGGGAGACTTAGAGGCAGCCTTGTCTTGAAGGAGCCCACAGTGCAGGGCAGGAGAGGGCCCTGCTGCTGCTCTGACAGAGGCGGGCAGAGCACTCCCTGGGAACGTGGCAAGGGTCTAAGCCAGCAGGGAAACACGCGGAGAGACAAAGGGTGGGTAAGGGCTGGTGTGGCGAGGAAGTGGACAGGGGTGACCAGTCCAGCAAGCAGAGGCCATGCGGGGGGTGGTATCAGTCCTTCTGTGACAGGAGTGGGGAAAAGGCCGGGGAGGACAAGAGAGGGGGCCGGGAGAGGCAGGAGCTGGAGAGGGAGAATCGACTCGTGAGCAGGAGGCGTCCGAAGAGAGAGTACAAGCAGGTAAGACTGGAAACCTGCCTTGGGCGGAGGTGGAGAGGGTCCTGAAGGGAAGGCCCAGGAGGGTGCACTTCACCTCGAAGGCCTGCGGGAGCCTTCAAAGAGTTCCTAGCAAGGCCAAGGTGTGGTCAGAGCTGGGCGTGAGAGGCGGCTCTGGCAGCCTGTGCGTGGCGGCCTAAGGGGAAGCACCTGCAGTGATGGGGGTGAAGGGGTGCAGGTGTGAGTGGATCAACGGTTGCCAGAAGGTTGGCGGAAGTGAGGGTCTGGGTCAAGGGAACCAGGCAGCCAGGGGGTTTGGAGGGAGGGTTCGTTCTGTTGTGTGCAGGGTCTCTCTGGGTGGGCACTGACTGAATTCATCCAACAACCTGCTCGTACTGAGGGGGAGTCCAGGAGAACCCGCAGGTGGAGGACTGATGAGATGCTGGGCTTTGGACAGGCTAGGGTGAAGGGACAGCGGGTAAAATTATGAGTGTGGGGCTGGGAGCACATCGTCAGCACGAGGTTGACCACATGGGCACTACCAGGTCTAGCAAGAAGGGAAGAAGTCAGAGGACGTTGGTGCAGACTCGCAGGCTGGGGAGGAGCCAGGAGAAAGCTGACATGGGGAGAGGCCTTGGGAAGACGGGCGGCCCAGGAAGGAGAGAGTGAGGGTGAGGAGGCTATTGGCACAAGAGTCCCCTGGGATTCAGTGGGCTCAGCCAGTCAGGGGATGTGTAGGAATGAGTCTGCAGGGCACAGAGAAGTCTGAGACTCCCAGCAAGGAGAAGTTCAAGGCTGGGAAGGGGAGGGGGAGGAGTGGAGGTAGGGAGCTTTGCAGACCAAGACCAAGTCAAAGCTGTTCGGAATTACCCGGCCCTGGTAGGGGTAGGCGTCTTCTGCCATGATGCCCTTGTTGTAGAGGATATACTCGAAGGCTTGGCTGGGGAGACCCCTGCAAGACACACACACAGTTGGCACCAGCCCAGATGCAGGTG